AGATGTGGTAGTGCAGCTGTAATATTAGCTACTTAGGAGGCTGAGGGAGGAGAATCACTTGAACTTGGGAGGTTGAGGTTACAGTGAGCAGAGATTGCACCACTGCATTGCACTCCAGCCTGGGTGACAGAGGGAGACTCCATCCTCCCCACCCCAAAAAAGAAGAGAAAATCCCTTTACAGTGTGTTGTTAGGCATATGTAAAACATAAATAAATAAAAATAAAAAGAAGAGCCATGGTTGGGGAGCAGCATCCCTAGGCCTGAGGGAATGGTGGGGGTGTCTGGGTGAGATGTGACCCTGAGGCCAACAGCAGGCCCGAGCTGGTCCCCAGAATTCTTTTGAGGAGAGGGAAGTGATCACCCCTAAAAAAAAGCTCTTCTGGCAAGGATGTAATGGAAGGGATAGCAAGATCAGCCTAGGTCAGTGCTTCTCCCTGGATCCTCAGCTGGGGGCAGGGTGGGCACAATGAGCCATTCTAGGAGTTGGGATGGAGCAACAGCCCTGTGCTCTTTGGGGGCCTTGAAAGCATGACCCTGTAGGGCTCCAGGCAAAGCTACTTTGGGCTAACAATAGGGCTCTCTAGGGTAAGACTAACCTCACACTGTCCTTTATGAATAATGATAATAACTTCACAAACTGTTTAATATTTCATACTTTTCAAAACTGCCTTATGGCAGCCTGATGTGGTAGTGGAAAGAGACCAAAACTGAAATCTACTTCTGTCCATAAAAAAAAAAGAGAAAGCCATAGCCAAATTTCTTTGGCCCTCTTGAGTGTCAGTTCTTTCCATCTGAATGGTGGGGGTAATAATAACTGAGGAACCAGCTCACTGATTTGTGTGCAAATCCAATGGCGCATGGGCACGAAAGATGAGGGCTTGGCAGGGAAGTGGAAGGTCCTGTTTTATCTGAGCACCGTCACCTCCCGTATGAGTTTCCTAGGGCTGCTGGAATAAAGTGCCACAGTCAGTGGCTTAAACAACAGAAATGTATTGGCTCGCTGTTCTGGAGGTTGCAAATCCAAGACCAAGGCGTTAGCAGGGTTTGGTCCTTCTGAGGGCTGTGCCTCTGCCTTCGCTTCTCGTGGTCAGCTGGCAACAGTCTTGGCAAGTAGAGGCATCACCCTGACCTCTGCCTTCATCTTCACAGAGTGTTCTTCTTGGTAGGATGTCTGTGTCCAATTTTTCCTTTTTATAAGGACACCAATCATACTGGAAGGGGCACCTACCCAACTCTAATAAGACCTTATCTTAATTAATTACATCACAACAATCCTATTTCTAAACAAGGCCACAGAATGAGGGAGGGGAGGGACTTCAAAATTTGAGTTTGGGGCCAACACAGCTCAGCTCATAACATTCCCATTAACCTATTGATGCTCCTTGGCCGTGGGTAGCCCAGAACACACAGGTCAGGTATAGAGGATGGAACAGGGTGGAGAAGTTCCAGCTGTTCCAGGCAGATTCTGCTCTCGGATGAATTGAGGTCTTCCACCACCTCTTTTATTAAACGCTTAAACACTTATTAAATATCTACATTATGCCAGATATAGAGAATGTAAAATGAATAAATTATTGTCCTTAACTTCAAGGGAAAAGAGAGATAGACATGTGGACAAATAATTGCAAGGCAGCATGATTCACACAATAAGAGAGGTACATGGTACGAAAGGCGGAGTCCAGGACAGGAGTGTCAAGGACGGCACCTAGGAGGGTGGTAACATTGCAACTAAATCTAAGATAGCTAGGGGTTTTCCAGGCAGACAAAAGGAGAGGCGTTTCGACAAGACTGAAAGCATCACAGCATAGAAGTCTAAGAGCCTGGCTTGGGCGATGTTTGGCTGGGGTAGAGATGGGAGCAATGGGAGACAGAAGTCAGAGGTAAGTTAGGGCCAGGTTAACGAGGTTATCCACCAACCTAAAGAATGTAAACTTTAGAATGGAAATCCTTTAGGACTACCACGGAAAACTCTATGTTGTATGTTCTGAAAGGGTAATGATCTCACTGGTTGTGAGAGATAAGGGCATAATGCTAACGTAACACCTGGCACATAGCAGACCCTCAATATATATGCAACAAACACATGAATGAATGAATGAATGAATGAATGAATGAATGAATGAAGCAGCAGAGTGGTATGAGAGTCTTAAGAGTAGGTTGCATATGGAAGCAGATAAACACACTCAGGATAATTTGCCGTACACCAGGCAGTGCTGTGAGGGCCTGAATAGCTTCCAAGAAGCACAGAAACGCTTATGGCCTTCAATGGCATGGGAAAGGGTGGAAAAGGTGAAAATAATGGTACATCTGTGGGGGTCTTAAGGTTGGAATTTTTTTTCTTTTTTTTGAGACAGAGTCTCACTCTGTTGCCCAGGTTAGGGTGCAGTGACATGATCTTGGCTCACTGCAACCTCTGCCTCCTGGGATCAAGCAATCCTCACGCCTCGGCCTCCTGACTAGCTGGGACAACAGGTGCACACCACCATGCCTGGCTAATTTTTGTATTCTTTGTAGAGGTGGGGTTTGCCATGTCACCTAGGCTAGTCTCAAACTCCTGGGCTCAAGGATCCTCCTGCCTTGGCCTCCCAAAGTGCTAGAATTATAGGTGTGAGCCACTGTGCCCAGCCTTAAGGTTTGAATTTGGGGGAGTTCCTGCCCTCAACCTTGGTCCTCTCTGAGGACCTGCTTCCCGAGGGAAATGTAAGAAGAGGCTGCAGGAAGCGCTCTTGCTGAGGAGCACTGAGACCAGCAAAGAGCAGGAGGAGCTAAGAGCAGAGCTCAGCTGTTCCAAGGCCAAAAGGCAGGCAGATGCTGTACTGTAGGCCTGAGCTAAGCTTGAGGACTTTGGAATGCAATAGAAGGAAAAACGGGCTACGGTGGGTAAAATAGTGTCTCCCCGAAATTCATGTCTATGCAGAACCTTGAAATGTGACCTCATTTGGAAAAAGGGTCTTTGCAGATGGGAGGTAAGATCATACTGAATTAGGGTGGGCCCTAAATCCAGTGACAGGTGTCATTATAAGAGACGGGAAGGACACAGACACACAGAGAGGAAGGCCTCATGTGGAGAAGGAAGCAGAGACTGGAGCTGCGCTGAAGTTAGGAGCCACCAGCAGCAGGAACAGGGGAAGGAAGCATTCTCCCCCGATGCTGCCGCAGAGAGCACGGCCCAGCCAACACCTTCGTTTTGGACTTCTGGCCTCTGGAACTATGAGAGAATAAATTTCCCATTGTTTTAAGCCCTTGAACTTACGGTACTTTGTTATGGCAGCCCCGGAAAACTAATACAGAGCCAGAATACAAGGGGCTGGCGAAGGTTAGGTCAAATGGCCAACTATAGAGCGGGGACCCAGGCAGGAAAGGAAGGGACGTTAGGAGGGACTGGTAGACTCAGAGAGGTCTAGGGCTGAAGGTCTTGAGGACAAATGACAGGTCTGGGGGAAAGCTGAATGAACAGATTTATATCCTGAGAGTGGCATATTTAAAATTAAGATTTTAGAGGTGTCTGTTGGACAAGAAGCTGTTAAAAAAAAATAAAAAAGATTTCAGAGATGGAACAGTTCCAGGTGATTATAGGTGTAGTCAGATTAATCTCTTTTTTTAGTGGATACAAGCTACCTGACCAACAAATCTACCCAACCTGGCAAGACAATTGACCCTCCTTGGAATCTGCGCTTTAAATCCAAGGATTAAAGAAGAGCCCGTGTTCTTCTGAGAAATTACTATTAGTTCTCTTCATGTTGAGGCATTTCAGACACTGCCTGGGAGTTTCGTGTTTTAGGAAGAAGGTCACAGAGGTGGGGGATAAGGCCTGTGGGTGTGTGTTCCCAGGCCTGGCCCAGGCTTTCAGTGAAAGGCACCGCCCAGAGGCTTTCAGAAAGGTGTGCTTGTCTGGAGACCCCTGGGACATTTGATGGCAGAGAAAATAAAACTCACCAAAATGTCAAGGCAAGCTGGGCCATTTGAGGAAATTCAGAAGGAAAAACCCCAAACAGAATCTTAAGGTAATTAAGTGACACCTCTAGCGCAAGCCAGAGAAATTCTCAGAGTTGCCCTGGAGCCAGGAATTACTCAATTAAGTAGCAAAAGCCCAAAGAGAAATGGAGAAACAGCCCCTCTTCCTCTTTTACCTGAAGCTCTGCTCCCCCTATTCCCTTCACCCCATATGCCCTCTGCTAGCAGCTTCTCCCTGCAGGCCCTACCCTGAGACCAGTCTGCCATCACACCCCAGCTGTCAGTGCGTTCCTCCTTGCCCGTGAGCACTGATTGGTCTTCTCTCCTCCTGCTCCTCTCTGGCCCCTCTCCAGGTTGTTTCCTATCACTTTCTTCCAGAAGCTTTCTAGCTGAGCTGCTGGGGGCAGGGGAGGGTCTCATTTCTACCTTCTCAAGATATGTTCTCCTATTATGTGTATATTTATTTCTGTTTTAGCTATCTCCTACTGAGAGTGTGGTCTCCTACTATTTAAACAGATAAGAGTGTTTGTTTTGAAGGACAGAGGACAGGCAATAAGGAAGCTACATTTTTTTCCTTACACAGTGTCTGAGCCAAGAGTACTCTGGCCCCAGTATCCACGTGACCGGAGCATCCTCGTGCCCGCCTCTTCAGCCCCTGCACTGTTCCCCACTGACCCTTGCATTTGCCAGCCCAGGACTGTCAGGGGCATAACCCTCTGACCATATCCTCACACTCTCTACCTTTAGCTCATTCTCCTCTCCCTGTGGCATCCTGGGCACCACTTCTTCCTCTCCCTCTCCCCAGCCCTTTCTCCAATTCCCCAAGTGGGAGGGATGGATTGGGAACAGAAGGCAGTTTAGCTTTTACAAGCAAAAAGCTAGTGCAAGGATCTGCTAAGAGCTATTCCAAGGACCATGTTTTCCAGAACAGATTTTGTATTTAATCAATGAAGGTGTTTCTCTCCCAGCAGACAGCTAATCTCCAGGAGCCTCACATTCATCTTCTTTTGGTATTTACTCAGATGGGAAAAGTAGCTCCTCTTACCCTTATTGCCTGAAGATCATACTTCCTTTCCCCAGCTTCTCCCCATTCAAGGAATTGTACCATCCGACCAGCTCTCTCCTGCGGGAAAAGCCAGAGGCGGGTGAGAGGATGGTGACCCGGGGAGGCAAAGTGACAGAGTACGTCAAAGAGCAGTGACAGTCTCAAGGCTGTAAGCTGCCTGGGATGGCATGGGGGATGGTGATTATATTGAGTCACCACTAATGAAATATGTATTGAGCTGTGAAGGAAACACTCCAGGGTAAAGCAGAGAAGCAGTAACTGATTTAAGATGCAGGAGTTCAGGTTCTCACACCATTGCCTCACTGTGCAGGGGAGCAAGTTCTTTACCTTCTCTGGGTGTCAGCGCATAGGCCTGGGGTGTCAGGGCTGTAGGGGAGCAGACAGAACCTTTACTGGAACCTCACGTATTAAAGATGGGGCATTGGACTTAGAGAGGCTGAGCTGCTCCAAACTGTAATTCCAGATGGACAGAGGAAGGGACAGCATCAAGAGCCAGCCTCCAGTCCCCAGCCACTGTCCTGTCTATCTGCCAATTTGTTTGGGAAAGACCTGAACTTGTTTGATCAGGAAAGAAGCCACTGGCCTTCCTTACAAGCAGCTCTAAAAATAACAGCCTCATATGAACATTAGGAGGCTTGGTCAGGTCCTGGCAGGAAACAGAAGGATCCTCAGCTGGGATTGTGAAGGTAATTGCATGAGGGAACCGTTTGCAGAGGTACAGCAAGGTCAAGGGAATCAACAAGAAATGCTGAGACAGATAGAGACCAGCAACAACAGGAAGCTCTTCCTACCCTCGGCCTGAGGAGGTGCGCAGAAGAATGGCGTCCTCAGGACCCAGAAACTATTGGAGCCACGCAAGGGGGCTGCCCAGAGGAGCTGTAGTTGTAGAATTAAAGAAGGGCAGGGAAGGAGGGAGCAGAATAAACACCCTGACCTCTCTCATGCCTTTGATTTCCTGCCAAATCTTCCTGTTAATCTAACCCAAATCGGAAGACAGAAGACAGGAGAGCCCTGTGATACCATCCATAGAGATTTTCTCCTGGAGCATGGAGCAGGCAGAAAATGGATCTTGGGCTGGGAGCAAAGCAAAACTGCAAAACCAGCAGATGGGGTGTTGCAGATGGTGCACCCCAGCAGAAACCACAAGTCCTTGGGAACCAGCAGTCAGTATGAATCCTGAGTTCCTGCTTACTAGCTGCGTGATCTTGGGCAAGTCGCTTCACTCTCTGAGCCTGGTTTTCTTCTTGGGGCTAATTATACCATGTTGATGGAGCAGTTGTGAGGATTAAATAAGACACCTTTTGGGGAAGCGCCGACCACATACAAGGATCTTACAAAGATTGTTCTTCCTTCTCTTCAGAGCCCCCCTTCCAAGCTCTGCTGAACTGGAGGCACTGGAGTAGAGTTGAACAGAAGAAATACACAAACTTTGGGTTTAGATCCTGGCTCCACAGCTACCAGCTGCATGACATTCCTCAAATCACTTAACTGGATGACTGGGGGCAGGTTACGTATCCTCTCTACCTTTATTTTCTTAACGGTAAAAAGGGAGTATCCAATTCATAAGGTTGTTGTAAGGATTAGAAATTATGTAAAGCATCTACAAAGATATTGGACGCATGGTAGGTAGGCCCTGGAATTAGACTAATTTCAAATCCTACTTCCCTCCTTATGAACCATGAAATTTTGCACAAGTTTTTGGATCTCTCTGAGACTCAGTTTCTTCATTTATAAAACAGGAATAATAAAATCACCTCTTTTTAGGGGTTGTAATAATGAAGTGAAGTCATGGGCACACACATGCCAGGCACAGAGTTGGCCGTCAAAAATCTGTTGTTGTTACTGGTCATGACTACTATCAGTCTTCCGATGTTTCTCATGTGTCTTTCCCCAATCAAGCATCCATCCCTTCTACTCAGATCCCCAGAGTCTTTGCTGGAGAAAGGCAAGTTGGGAATGGGACTAGAGGAGACAGCTAATTCAGAGGGGATGGGTTCATGATGTGATGATGGCTCAGCTTGCTTGGCAAATGCCTTTGGCAAATGCACAGGCATCCAGACATGAGGTGCAGTTGAACACCCAGCCTGTAACTCCTTTGCCTTCCTCTATCAGGTCACCCAGATGAGAGGATGGCCTGTCCTCCAGCCTTCTCACCCTCACCCTGGGCCGCCTGATGCCATGTTGAGACTGACTGGCTTTCAGTTGGATGAAAACAGAGGGAAAGGGGGAGTGTATGTCTAGACCTGACACTCTACATCCCAATCATAATTTGCTGAACCCTTACTATGTCCTAGTCATTGTGGAGACTTAACATAATTAGCTCACATCAATTTCAACAATATCGTGAAATTAATCAAATTGAAATAGTAACATTAGCAATATTGGAAGCTAAAGCCCAGAGAGGTTAGGGAACTTGGCCAGCATCACACAGACAGTAATTGGCAGGGTCCACATTTAAAATCAGGTCTGATTGTCCCCTAAGCTCAAGCTTGGGCAGCTGTGCCAGGTGGCCTCCCGGAAGGATGGCTCATATGTTGAACATCAGTGCAAGGGTTTAGGGAGATAATGGAAGACAGGAGTGAAGAATGAGCTTGGAACAGATGTGAAAACAGCATTGTCTGCCATGGCTGGTCGCTTCCCTAGGAGGCTTGAAGACTGAGGATTTCTGAGGCTCCTTCCCCTCTGATACTCTGTGAGCCAGACCCTAACTGCCAGGCACCTGGAGAAGAGAGACAAAAATCCTGCTTCCCAAGGCCCCAGAAGCTGGCCTCCTTCCCTCCTCCCCATGCTAGTTCCTTAGGGTTCAATCACCTTTTCCTACCCTGAGCTACAGAATGCCTCTTAGCGAATGGTTTAGTGTGCCCCAGAGGGTAACTAGAAAAAGATGGTATACTTTCAGATGGGGGCCAAGGAGGAAGGGGCTTTTCCTTACATCATAATGCCCAGGTGCTTTTGAGCCCTTAATCTGCCAGCCTCTCAGGCAAGATCTGTGGCCTTGAGTGTAAATAGACTGGCCAAAGTTTGTGGAGAGCGGCAGCTGGACCGCTACAGCCTCTGCTGGCCTCTTCAGAGCATACATACTCTTCTTGGGACTTCTCCAGCCAGGAAATGTGGGGGTCCAGCGCAATGAAGGAGCCAAGCCATGGGGTGGCATGGGTGCGGGAACACACAGCCCTGGGTGCCCCTCAACACTGGACCCCCCCAGGATGTTCATTGGTTTCTTCACAGATTCCGCAAACAGTTTTTGAGAACTTACTTGAGTATGAGCCCTGTGTAGGCTGAATCAGATAGAATCATGCCCTCGAGTTGCTTAGATCTAGTAGGAGAGATAAAACCTGCAACACAAAAATATCAAAGTGTAGAACGTTATCCAAACCTCTCCTTGGCATTTCTAAGTGTTTGAAGGGTTTAGAAAGACAGCAGTAGGGGGAAGGGAGATGCTTCCTTAGCACTTACTATATACCAGTCGCTGTTCCAAATGCTTTGCATACATTAACTCTCATAATACTCACAGGCACCTCATTCTACAGATGAAGAAGCAGGCATGGAGAGGCTAAGTGACTTTCCTCAGGGCCTAGAGCTGGTAAGTGGATTTGACCCAGGCTGTATGGCTCAGAGTCTGTGCTCTTACCCTATCTGTGCCGATCTCCTGCCCTGCCCTCAGGTCTTATCACCTGATTGTTAAAACACAATGATGAAAAACAAGCACTAATATCTCCACCTGTATTATGCTCAGTCGTTAAAAATCAGTATATCTGCAGCATGTTAATGTATGTCATTGTTAGATTATAAGCTACAAAGAATCTCACTCACATATACTTACTGAGTGTCTGCCAAGAGTCAGAGGCTGTTGTAGCTGCTTAGCATATTCTAGGTCAATTCACTTCTTGCAACAGCCTTGGGAAATAGGTGGCAATCTCCCCCTGGATTCCAGAGGAAGAAAATGAGAGGCAGGCAGCAAAGATATTTGCTACACCAGTAACTCCCAGCAGTAAGCTTTGGACACAGTTCTTTTAACACAAGTTACTGCTTCTAATTTTAAAGATGAATATTAATATGATTAATCTTCATTATATAGAACCACATACAGTGTGGCCTATACCTAGTATCTTTTTCATTTGATTTTGTATGTGAAGTAAGCTTTATTTTTAAATTTTTTTTAGTACTAGCGTCTTTTCTTTTTTTTTTTTTTTGCACTAGTGTCTTAACTTCTAATACTAAAAAGTATGGAATGTGGGCTTTGAGATTGGCTGTGTTCAGCTTTTCTTGTTATCAGTATAAGGATGTAAACTTGGGTAAATCTCCTCAAATCTTGGTCTCTATAAAATGGGAATTGTAATAACCAACCCCACAAGGTTATTGGAGGATTACATTAAATTTCATACAGCGAGAGCCAAGAATTGTGTATGATACCCTATAGGCTCCCAGTGAACAGTAGCTATTCTTTATCGACAGATACATAGCATGGGTCCAATAAATATGTCATGGGGTGATGGGTCTTACATAGTCCTCTAATACATATCTTCATTTCATCCCATCAGTAGCACTGGGAGACAGATATTCTCATTTCAAAGCTAGATATCCCACATCTAGTAGGTGATAGAGCAGAACCTCAAATGCATATCTCCTGACTCACCATTCCAGTGATTTCTCCGCCTTCCCTCATCTGTTCAATAGGGACAATGGCAATTCTAGTCTTACCATCCATTGGGAGCCTGGGAGATTTGCACAATGGGACAGTTGCCCAGAAGGATCACAAAACATTAGTGGTGACCATATGGTGCTGCCTCTCTGATGGTGAAAACAGGTGAGTGCCTCCAAGGCACATGTACCAAAGTGCTTTCCTAATGTTAAAAAATTTTTTAAAAGGCCGGGCACGGTGGCTCATGCCTGTAATCCGAACACTTTAGGAGGCTGAGGCGGGCGGCTCACGAGGTCAAGAGATCGAGACCATCCTCGCCAACATGTTGAAACCCCGTCTCTACTAAAAATACAAAAAATTAGCTGGGCGTGGTGGCACACGCCTGTAGTCCCAGCTACTCAGGAGGCTGAGGCAGGAGAATTGCTTGAACCTGGGAGGTGGAGGTTGCAGTGAGCCAAGATTGTGCCATTGCACTCCAGCCTGGCGCTTGGCAACAGAGCGAGACTCTGTCTCAAAAAAAAAAAAAAGTTTCTTAGCAAAATTTGTTGGTCGTGGCCACTAGCTGTTGTCAGTCCTATCTCAGAAAGCTGCTATTTGGTGTATAAGTCCTGACTTAGAAAATTCCTAGGTCTGCAGCTTAGATTCAGTATCTGGAAGCTGGCTGTTGCAGCCAGGTGTAGCTGGTTTGAATGAAGGTTTATTGGTTAAGATAGTGATGATGGCACACTACCTCCCAGGGTTGAGAGAAGATAGAAATCTGAGAGAGAAGAGACTCCTAGTCCCCGCACACTATGGAAACCCCATTTGGCATCAGCTGTGTGAGCCAGGTGACTCAGTGTATCTGTGTGAGGTTGGATTTACTCGTTGATCTTGCCCTAGTCTTCCTCTAACCAGTTGTCTTCCATCCTACACTTGGTCTTAGCCAAAAGGCCGAGGAGCTATGCCTTGTAACCTTTATGAGATAAGTAGATGCTCTCCACCATCCTGGGCACTGAATTAGGATCCTGTGTCCGCTGGTCCTGTGTTGATCCTGAGTTCTCACACAGTTCTTCTTGGAATACCACAATGTTCATTAACATATCAGGGCTCTAAAACTAAAAGGTGCTTTAGTTAATCATGGGTCTCTTTATCCTACAACACCTATTAATATCCTACAAATCAAAAAACACACTTTGGGAAACACTGTCCTAACAAAAGCAGACCCAGGTTCCATTGCCTAGCGAAAGGGAACCCAAATTTCACACATCCCTTAATGAGCCTCCACTTCTGAGTAATCAATAAGTGTGCGGGGGCCTGAGGGAGAGCATGGCGAATGTGGGAGGCTACAAAGCTATACTGAGCCCCCAAGCCCTCTCTCAAGGAATCCACGACATGATTGAGAGAGATAAAACATGTCTTATGTATCTGGGTGTTAAGATCTCTTATTATTACATTAATCCTTTTACCCTTACATCCTTGTAGCACATAATGAGATTTAGATTCAACGAGACAACAAATTGATAACAATATCCAGGACTTGAACTCAGAGCCAGAACAAATAAACACAATAGAGGTCTCCATTTTAAACATATAAAATATGCATTAACCACTTTAAACACTCAAAATATTGATCGGCCATTATTGAAACCCATTCTAGGAATGAAGTAATATTCCTTTTTCCCTCTTTTTCTTTTTTTCCCTCTAAAAAAAAAAAAAAAGTTGACACTGACATTGTCTAAACTCCACTATGAGGTAAAGCAAAAGGATCAAGTCTCCTACACTGAGTTGAGGTAGTAGAAAAAAAAAAAAAAAAGAAATTCCTGTGAGTATTTAAGACAACAGCAAACTTTAGAGAGATTTGAAATCTGCACACAAGCCACACTGGGCGATACCACAAACCCCTAAAAACAAACATGTCCACGGCCGGGCGCGGCGGCTCAAGCCTGTAATCCCAGCACTTTGGGAGGCTGAGGCGTGTGGATCACGAGGTTAAGAGATCGAGACCATCCAGGTCAACATGGTGAAACCCCGTCTCTACTAAAGATACAAAAAATTAGCTGGGCATGGTGGCGCGTGCCTGTAATCCCAGCTACTTGGGAGGCCGAGGCAGGAGAATTGCCTGAACCCGGGAGGTGGAGGTTGCAGTGAGCCGAGATCGCGCCATTGCACTTCAGCCTGGGTAACAAGAGCGAAACTCCGTCTCTCAAAAAAAAAAAAAAAAAAAAACATGTCCACACAATCAAGGCTGAAGGAGGCCAAGTGTAGTTTAGTGCCAAGGATGGTGTAGGGAGGGCACCAGCATTGCCCTAGGAGATGCAGCCAGGGAGGAGGCCAGGGGAGAGACAAGGAGTTGGGAGGCAAATTGGTGATGGTCCTGGCACCATGGTGTTCCTTCGAAGGAGAAGGGAGAAGATGGCCTAACTTGGAACCAAAGAAAGAAATCCCAAGTGAGGCTGAGAACCCAGCCAGGTACGCCATCAGGTGTGGAGGAGGAGGCTTGGCCGGCCTCTGGCTGAGCGAGCAGCAGAGTGGTGGAGGAGCAGCCACCACCAAAGCCCTGCACAGCCGGAGCGTCCATGAATAAGATGTCTTGGCTGCTCCTGGGGATGGAGGAGGCTGTGGAAAGTGTGTCCCAACAGAGCAGTCCAGAGATGGGAGAGAACATGCTGGCCTGACTCTAGATTCATAAAGGGCAGAGGGGGTAGGAAGAAGGGGCATATACCATTTGTCCATGAGACTATACTTTGCATGGCTCTGTAGTCCGGAAAACAACAAAGAATAAAACAGCAATGACAACGGAACCGAAGTCTGAGCTCAACTTCATCCAATAACTATGTATAGAGAACCTACTTTGTGAAAGAGACTGCACCGGCCCCACCTAGGTCTCTGCCCTTCTGCGAGTAGAGGGCTGGGGGTAGAGGCCATACATGGGAAACAACAGCTTTCAAACCAATGTGTAAAAAGTGCTGGGTAAACTCTACCAGATAGGTCCTGCATTGATTCTCTCATCTGGCTTTGGGCAAGAGAAAGCTTCCCAGGCTAGTGATTGGGGTGGACTTCATTCCATCTAGCCAAACTGATATGAATGAGAGTCCAACATGTGCTGGTTGCTAGGAGTGGGTTCAGGGACACGTAAGGAAATTAAAATTGTAAAACCTCACTTAGATGCTGTGACAAAACCAAAAAGATCCAAGAAGTGTTTGACAGGCCCTTTTTGCCTGGTGTTAGGGAGACAAGGGCCCTGCCACATAGGTGGTATGCCTGAGCAGATCGGAAAGGTAATGTGGAGTAAGGGTGCTGCTTGAGCAGAAGAGAAAGGGGCAGACTTAGAGGTAGCTCACAGAGAACTGTGAGTAATCTTGGCTACACCCAGAGGACTAGGCCTTCCATAGGACCATCACAGCTCAGTGTGGAGTAGAGGGAAAAAGATGAGTATCCCAGCCTGGTTAGATTGGGCTGGAGAAGAGAAACAGGTGTGACAGGTCTTCCAAGGCATGCTAAGGAATCTGGCCTCTACTGGGGAGCCATCGAACACCCACCGGTGGATGTTGCATGCGGCAGAATACCATTAGCTTTGCCCTTTAGAAAGAGCTTTCTGGTCTGGGTACAGTTGCTTGTCCTTGTAACCCAAGCAGTTTGAAAGACTAAGGCAGGAGGATTGCTAGATCCCAGGAGTTCTAGACCAGCCTGGGCAATATAGTGAGACCCCATCTC